GGACCTATTTGTCACTCTGAAGCATATGGACTCATCTAAGAATGTTTATAAAAGCATAAAATAAAATACACAGGATTACAAAGAACCATTTATATTGAGATACAATGATAAAACATTTAATAATTGTGATAAAAATAACACATTAAACATGAGATCTAGAGCTCTAGTAACTACCATAAGTTCAAAATAATGATGAATGTAAATTATATTTAAGATATCTGCAGCAAATGTAGGATGATATAAAAATAGCCATGGTTTCTATTGCTGGCAAACCACTTACTGTGGTTTGTTGCCTATACGTATAGAAGAAATGCTAAATTTCAGTAACAGGGTAGTAAAAATAAAGATGTTGTCCCACCTCACATTCACAAATCCTTTGTGTTTCATCCACAGACTGCTTGGGGCTCCATGGACCCCAGGTGTCCCCATTCAAATTCCTGTAACAAATACCATAGACTGGTTGGCTTAAACAACGAACATTTATTTCTCAGAGTTTTGGAGGCTTGAGGTTCAGCATCAGGGTGCCAGTATGGTGGAGTTTTTGGTGAGGGCCCTCTTCCTGATTATGTCCTCAAATGGCCTTTTCTAGGTGTGTGCATGGTGGGAAGGAGGAGGGAGAATAAGAAGTGTGTATTGGTCTTCATCTCTTTTCTGGCACAGAGATCCTAAAATCCTTGGAATTTCCTAAGTGAGGAAAGCAACTGACCAGAGGTTAGATTTGGCATGGACGATAGTTTGTCGGCCTCTGTACTGGATTGCTAGTTTCTTGAGGGCAAGAATCATCACCTTGTTTTCTGTCCCTTATATATAGCAACAGTGTCAACTAGATTGGCGTAAAATAAATATGGGCAGAATACTTACTTGAGTCTATAAGTGCTCTATACCTACACATGCTTTCTCGGTATTCTTCCAAAATTCAAATTGGGCAGCAGATGAATTCCCTAGTAGGAGAGTTTAAGCCAAACCCAGATTTGTGGTTTCATAGTCTAGCACAATTTTATGGCTCATTCTCCTATAATCTTGGTGTCCCCTAAATGAAGGTCAACTTTTGCCTACAGTGAAGGTATTCTTAATGTACTCATACACTTAGAGATCCCAGAGTAATGGTAACTTGTATCTTTTCCACAGAGTTCAATCTGGCCTTGACCTGAAAAAATGATAAATGTTTGCAATAGCGAATTTTAGATACATACTTGAACAAAAAGGAAAATCCCTTCCCAACCCTTTTTCTGCTTTACACTCTTCAGACTTATGTGTTCAACAACAGTAATCATTGTGAAAATCACAGGAATTTTATTTGTGAAGTGCTTATCCCCTACAGAGATTAATATACCACTTAATATCAAAGGTAAATGGATTTTTTGAATGTTCTCTAAGTTATGGAAGCAACAGACATATACTCCAGCAGGCTGTTTAAGAAGCAAGATGTTAATCACAGCTCCAGTATAACCATACTTCTGACAACATTACAAGGTGATTATTAGTCATGCTTGCCCACCTGTAAAATGCTGACTTGACTAATATGCATATTGGCAGCATATAAAAAAGGTGTTGGCAACTTGCCCAAGGTTATGGACAAACTTGACGTTTCATTAAGCCATATTGATTATCATGCAAAATATCTGGAACACAGTTTTACTCAGACATTCCATTTACATGGGCTATTGAAATCAGAAGATAAAACAAAAATACTGAATTCTGTGAACTTAATTTCAGAGATCGTTTTTCTACACATGAATTATGATATCTAATAAATTCAGTTTAGACACTTTAATGTAACCTTAGAGTCTGACTAGGCATATATATTTTCTGCAGGTGAACTTCATGTACACAAATTACATTAATTAACAATTATACCCAGTGTTTATCAAATAAAAAGCAAGTTTCTTGAGTTGGGGGAAGTTAGAGGAAACAAGACAGGGACTTTTCTCAGAGGGAATGTAGTACAAACTTATTTGAGGTAACATAGACATAGAGATAATTGACCGTGTTGGTAACGTGCAAAATGCCGGTAAATGACACAGAAAAAGCTATAGTTGTAAGACAGAAAGGTTGTTTATCAGGAGAGACAAGGGACGGAGCCTGGCCTTGAAGTGTGAACTCAGACTAATAGTGCTGCAAGTAACTTAGAACACACACACACACACACACACACACACACACACACACACACACACACACACACACACACACACACCCTCTGCCAAGCCTCTGCTGTTACTCCCATTGCTGTCTAATTCACTAAGACCCTCCTCACTTCACTCCTGAATTACTGTGGCCTCTGCCTGGCACTCCTTACTCCTTGTCTGAACCTGTGCGCACAGTGTATCAGAACAATTTTCCTCACGCTGAGCTTTTATCATATTAACTACTGTGCCCTATGGTTTGTACAAAAAGTGTTATTTTGATGGCGCCAGTGTTGGTCTGTGTTCGGCTTGACTCCAGTGTTTCTGAATCCAGTGTGTCCCTCCTAGATTAGTCTTTCTCAGCTATCACTATGATATCTTTCAATATACAAGATTGTATTAGAAGCTTTTATATACTGTTACCAGGAGTATGCACTGTGATGTCTTTCTGCGGGGCAAAGCCTTAAAATGTATATATGCTTTATTTCACCTTGACATTATGCTTTTAATCATGCCTTTGTGCATTTAAAAAATATGTATAATACAACTATTGCTGCTATTTTTAAAATAAAATTTGTTGGCATATCCTAATTGGTCCTTTAGAAGGAGGAGTGTCTATACTGGAAACACCTGGGACCATTAAAAATGATGAATATAGAAAATACTTTTTTTTTTTCTAGTAAGCATTTAATTTTTTTTTTGATATCCCTGTGGTATATCCTTTAAAATTGTGGTTCTTTGTTTTGTTTTGTCTTTTTAAGATCGCTAGTAGCTTTCTGTTGTTCATCAAATTAATCCTTGCTTCCTATGCCTTGCCTGGCTTCCAGGGCCCCGCATCAACCTACTCTCAAATTGTGTAGCAACGTTATAGAAATCTCAACCATTGCAGTCTGTTTTATCCCTGACTGGACTCTCACAGCCCAAACTCACTTCCAGCTGTGCTCTTGTTTATGTATTTTCCCCACTTGACTACCCTTTGTGTCTCTCTCCTCGTTCAACTCCTATCATTTTTTAAAAATAAATTTATTTATTTTATTTGTTTTTCCTGCGTTGGGTCTTCATTGCGGCTTTCTCTAGTTGCAGCGAGCGGGGGCTACTCTTCGTTGCGGTGCACGGGCTTCTCATTGTGGTGGCTTCTCTTGTTGCGGAGCATGGGCTCTAGGCGCGCAGGCTTCAGTAGTTGTGGCATGTGGGATCAGTAGTTGTGGCTCGCAGGCTCTAGAGCACAGGCTCAGTAGTTGTGGCGTACAGACTTAGTTTCTACGCGGCATGTGGGATCTTCCCGCACCAGGGATTGAACCTGTGTCCCCTGCATTGGCAGGCGGATTCTTAACCACTGCACCACCAGGGAAGCCCCGTATCATTTTTTAAGGGTCTACTTCTTATGAATCTTGTCCTGATTTTCTCAGTCCTTCGTGGCTGTATCATCCAGTTCTATGGTTTGTCTCAAGTAAACAGGTGTTCTGGAAAGGAGCCTGGGTTCAACAGAGGAACTAGAATGTGACTGGAGAATACCTGTGAGATGAGCATTGTTTTCTGCTGAAGGTTGATTTTTGAAGGCCATTTGGAACGGAGCCATGCACACACCAGTCCTTGCTTTGTTCTTTTTCTACTTAACTGACAATCTTTGTTCTCCAGTAAACAGCTGGCCAAGGGAGAAGTCATGTTTTCTTTTTCAGCTTCAAACAATTTTGCAAGGAAAAATTAGGTAAAGTTCAAAGATAAAGGTTTGCTCTAGAGTGCAATAGTCCTTTTATCATCTTTTTCATCTGTTCCTCTGTGGATTACTTCTAGCATCCTCCTGCAAGGTGCATACATGGCCTGATTACTCGAGCATTTTCTCCTCTCCCTTATGCCCAAATCTTGATCTGTTGCATTCACTGGGCTTAGTCTGAGAACTGAAGAAGAGAGAACTGCATTCGTCCGTTTTTGTTTTTGGATCACTAAACTATACCTCAGCCCCATTCACTGGTCCTGCTCAAACCCCTGCACAGCCCTTCTCTACCCCATACTCCATGGGTACTAAGTATGAATTGTCTTTTTTAGTTCATGTGCTAACTTAAAATATTTCTATTATGAAAATTTGCAAACATACAAATAGCATAGTAAAACATGCTTCTTGAATACCCATCACACAGATTCAATTAACAACATTTTTAGTGTACTCTTTTAAAACCTAAGGTTATCTTAATATTTTGTTCTCTTATGCTATAACATCTGTCTTTCTAAAACTTGTCTTTTAGTCTTGTGCTTAATAGATCGAATAGTGATCTCTTCTGTGATATTCAGTTTCAATACTTAATTATTCATTGTCAAAGACAGTGGTATGTGAAAAAACTAAAATTCAACAAGCATAGCTAATATATTGATAACTTCATATGGTAACTTTGGGCACAGGTTACAATTTAATTGTAATTATTATTTCTATTCTGTTAAGTTAACCCCAAACCTGAAAACTAAATTTTCACCTATATTTTTAAAAATTAAAATATGATCTATCATGTGAGTCATTAACCCCATTCTGGTTACTTACCAGGGAGTGTTATTTCTTGTGAACCTCTCTTATTCTTCATCCTATTTTCTTTGTATATAGTCTTGAAATTACTAAATACTTTCAATGTGTTCTTAGACCGTCTCATCCCTTAAGGACATAAGAGCAACAGGAATCTTCCTTATAGACATTAATACTAGTATTGAAAATTATGAACTACATTTTGTCTGTAAGAATACTTGCCTTCTTAACTAAATAGGATAGCATTATGATATTAGCTTTAAACCAAGGTTAATCATTTTTATTCCACTGAATAACTCATTGCTTTTGCACATTATAATTCACTGTTGAAATTCTTTAATTTTTTTTTCCTTTTTCTGCAGCTCTTGTAAATGTGAAACTCTGGGCCATTGATCGACAATGTTTTCAAACAATAATGATGAGGACAGGACTCATCAAGCATACCGAGTATATGGAATTTTTAAAAAGGTAGGATGCTTTTTTTTTCTCCTGAGTGTTTTATTGTCTTTTCAATCTTCCTCTGAAATGCAGCCCGCGGAACACTTTTTGCCTTTATCTCAGTCTTATTAGCCTACAAATTTGTGGAAGTACAAGACTTTGGACTGGCTTCTTTCTTTTTCTGCTGCCAAATTTCATGATAGGTGGTCAAGTCAGAACTTCAGAGTTTCATCCAACATCCTCTCATAGAGGAGAGCGGCATAGAGGAGAGAAGCAAGTGAGCATTTGCAGGAACAATGACAACAAAAAGGATATTGAGTCCATCTCTAACTGTTGATCAATTAATATATTTACCTCTTCTAAAGCAACCCACAGTATAAGACTGAATCACCTCTGTGTGAGGTTCTATATTAAAGATCAGATGACTAAGATGAAAAGTTCCAAGAAATTTATTATCCTTTAATCCTGAATTTAATTTCCCAAATTAAATTCATTTTATGTTGAAATTCTGAGGTATCAAAAGCTTTTCTTTTCCTGATATTATATATTATCATAACTCAGTACACCATAGGAATTGGAATAAAACGCCAGCTTTCGTTTCTTAGGAATATACTGATAGTCACTGAAATTCATTTGTCTCTCTGCTTATTTTATTTTAAAGAGTATATATTATCATTAAAAAGAATATTGACAACTTTGACTTTTTTTGAAAAATAGTTATTTTGTATAATTTTTCTTTTGAAGCAGAACCATCACTAAATAGTGATGTACAGAGTATGTGAGCTAAATGGGAGTGCAACACCAATTAAGATTTCATTTTTGAGAGCTAGAATGTTAAACTGGCCTTTTTATTTTTTACTTTTGGTGAAGAAATGGTTTAAATGGAGTCAAAAAATCATATTGTGTCAGTGATAGAAAAATCTTGGATATCTATTGAATTTTCTTAAATGCAATTTTACTGTTCCTTACTTGGGTATTTCTTTTGGTTAACTTATTGTTTCTGATTACATTTTTTATTTCCACATAATTTTTTCTTTATTCCTGGTAAAAGGACAATAAAATTCAAATATGACATCAGGTGAGACCATATTAAAAAAAATTACTCTATTGGCAAGGTGTTGGTGTTTTTACTAAAGGTGATTGAATGAAACAGAAGTGGAAATGTGAATTTCTTCTGTTTGAAGATTAGTATAGTTTGCGAGGAAATTAAATTATTCAGGTGCCATCTGTGTATGTTATATATGTATATATGTGTTGATATGTGTGCTGATACATAGATGTGTGTATGTGAATGGAGACAGAAAGAGACAAGAGTGAATGTTCATTTTTAAGCCTTTATTAAAGTACAAGTTATTGATTTCTTATGATGCAGCCCTGACAGAGAAAGATCCTAATTGGTAATCAGTGAAATGCTTGTCTGTGGGACAGAGTTAACTATTTGTCTCACATACCTAAGAGCTGGGTATTTATGATGCTGTTTTCAGCTTCCATAAGTTAGTATTCATAAGGAAATGGAATGAGTGCCAATGCTGTCTTTCATGGCTCCAACAAAAACTCTTTTTTAGAGTCACAATTTTAAGAAATTGTAGATGTCTGTGTGTGTGTGTGTGTGTGTGTAATTGACCCTGGATATACTTTTATTTTTGTATTCTCAGAGATGCCCAAATTTGTCATCTATTTTGACAATTCAAACCTGAAACAATAAAAGTTGGTTCTCTTAGACTGCGTAAACATTTCTTGTTGGTCAGCTTAGAGCAAGTGGAGTTTAACTGATTTACTAAAAGAGACAGGCACTGACTTTGATGTCACTCTTCATCTGGCCACTCTGTAAAACATCAAGTCTCCACATCATTTGTGTATGTAGTAGTGGGCTGGGAGTCCAGAAAGGTGACAGATGACCACTGTTGCCTGGGGCCAGCTTTAATCTTCCTAAATTATGACTGTGACCAACTGGTTCTCTTTCTACAATGCTTCAGTGGCTCATAGTTCTTGTTGAATTAGTTACAGCATCATTAGCTGGGTATTCAAGGTCCTCCCACAGCCAATGGCCGCCTGCTTTTTCAGCCAGATTTCTTCTTGCCCCAGGCAAACCAAATGATTCCATGTGCCCAAGCAGACCTTGTGCTTTTATATAGCACACTGCCTCTGTTGCCTTTTCCCCCATTGTCAATGTTTGTCTCTCTCTTCTTTTTATATTCAACTAAAAGCTGCCCTTTCCACAGATACTGATGGTTCTACTGGGAAGCAATCTCTTTCTTCTCTGGAGCTTCATTTCTACCATGTGTGTTATTTTCTACTTTATTATAATCTCACTGCTAAACTTATCTCTACTTTTAAACTACAGACTTTTCAGGACTAGAGCTACTTCTTAAGCATCTTGGTATTCTTTGGCACACAGCTTACCACTTTGTAGGCAGGCAATTTACAGGACAGTAAGTGTGGGATGAGTACGTAATTTGCAGGGCCCACTGGAAAATAAAATTCAGGGCTCCTTTTGTAAAAATGGTGAAAAATTTCAAGACACTGGTGGCATAGTATGAAACCAAGTATAGGGATCTTCTAATCTTGGGCCCTGTGCTATTATACTTGTGAAACTAAGAGTGAGTAATCATTCCTCCTTCACTTTCCCAGGTTAATACTTGCTGCCATTTATTTTGCAAGGCTGTTGGGATGATATAATATTCCCCAAGGAAATGTAGATCTTGTCAAAAACTAAGATGACCAAAATTAAACTTTTCTACTGTAACTTCAGAATTTTTTATTTCCCTGTTTATTGTTGATTTTAAAATTCTGCTTACCACTCTTACATTATGTAAAAGCTTTTAAAGTTTATATAGTTAAGTCAGCCAACTTTTTACTTTATGGTTTCATGTTTAGAAAGACTTACTTTATCATAAAAACATAGACTTAACACTTAAATCCTTTGTAGCAGCCTGTGTGTGTGTGCACGTGCGCTTGTGTGTATGCACATGGCGGGGTGTTTTTCTCTAATATGCTTGCTAAAAACTTTCATCTGAATTTTTCTACTATAGATACATATACTTTATAGTTTGTTAAGGATTTAAGCAATGTGACACAATCAGAAAAATTAAAACTCTAGCAGATGGTATTAGAAATCATCAGAATTCTTCGCAGTGAGGGTCTCTATGGTACATTGGAATGCCTTCCTAATGGAGGACTTTCAAGGGCAGGGACAGGCTGAAAGAGGAGTGATTCTGTATCACTGCTCATCTCCCCATACCACACTTCACTTTTCTAAATAAGCAGTAAATTTGGAGGGTGAGAAAAGGAGGGGACACATCAGACATGTAAATGCACAGACAAAATGCAAGGATTTTTCTTATCAAAGTCGGTTTTTTTCATTCCAGTGTGTTTACTCATTTTGTAACCACCAGTCATGTGGTCTGGCCTCTTTGCTATTAAACGCCACATCAAACTGTTATTCTGGTCTTTAATCCTATTTAGTTGTTTCTCTTTTGTGCTTGAATTTCACATTCCCTGATGTAAACACAGATGTTCCATGCAAGCATAGAGGTGATAGATACTTTTGTACATAAAGATTTATATATATATATATATATATATATATATATATATATATATATATTCAAGGGGCAGTGCTGCTAAGCAAGGTACGATTGCTATAGGTCCAGTAGCGATTTTGTGAGATGCATTTTCTATCTTCTTTGGCTACTGAAAAATGCTGTTGTTTTGCAGATGGATTCTGAAAAATAACTGCTAGAGTTAACTGCCAGAGTTAATTTGTGTTGCTTCTTTTCTGAGCATATTCTCTGTGCTACTGTTGGCACAGACATCTATACCCGGAGGAGCATTAGAATGCAGCTGTGTGACCACTGGGATATGCTTGAAGGAACTGGGTGTTCTGTTGGCCCCAAACTATGATGCTGCTGACCCTCTATTTATCTTAATGCCTCCCTGACAAACCAGAGACACAGCAGGGACTGTTTGGAATTTAAGCTACTAAATCAAGCCTGTCGACCCACAAAAAACCTTTTCTTGATCCACTAAGGAATCTTTTGGTAAGGCAGATATGCTCGCATCATCATTCTGCATAAAACCTTTCCATGACTACTCACTCCTAAGATAAAGTATATCTTTGGCACTGTCGTCAAAGCCCTGCTTCCTCTGGCTACTGCTGACCTCCCTAGGTCCATCTCACTCTCCATCTCCTTCCTTGTCTTCTCATTCCCTCTTTGCTCTAGTCCCATGGTGAGCCTTCATTTCCTTATATGCTGTGTTCCCTCCCACTGGAGATCCTCCTAAGAGACTCCTCTCCCTTTGAATGGATGCATTTTCTAGGGTGATCTATGGTGTAGCACCCTGGAAATGGTGTACCATTATGGCAGAAAAAAGAATCTGATCTCAAACAATTACAGATTTCTGATTTACCTTCCTTAGGTTGAAAGAGAAATTAATAGTATTAGCCACCAAGTTTCATGTTGTATTTTCAATAAATAGAATTTTAAAGTTTAGGGATTTTGAAGTTCTTTACCTACTTGATTCTCAGCTGACTCTCCAACCATTAAGGTTGTTTTCAGGGTTTTTTTGTTTGTTTTTGTTTGTTTTGTTTGTTTTTTTTGTTTTTTTGCGGTACGCGGGCCTCTCACTGTTGTGGCCTCTCCCATTGCGGAGCACAGGCTCTGGACGTGCAGGCCCAGTGGCCATGGCTCACGGGCCCAGCCGCTCTGTGGCACGTGGGATCTTCCCGGACCGGGGCACGAACCCGTGCCCCCTGCATCACAGGCAGACTCTCAACCACTGCGCCACCAGGGAAGCCCAGTTTTCAGTTTTAAAACTACCAGTCATGTGGTTTGGCCCTCTTTGGGCAGAAGAGTGGATCTTCTCCAGGGATCTCTGATCAGATCCCTGGAAGCTAATTTATAACAAAGCCCAAAGCTAATGGCTCCCTATGAGGGCCGTAGCAGCATGCACATACAAGGTGTCCAGATGAGGAGTGGGCCTTTGGCAAATTATAGAACTACTCTGTTGATTAATCCTTCTGCCCCAGT